GGTACTAAAGGTCTCAACCCCCTTTAGTACCGGTTCGTGCCACGAACCGGTACTAATGGGCATCGCACCCTTTAGTACCGGTTCGTGGAACCAACCGGGACTAAAGGGCCCATTTGAACCGGGAGTAATGCCTTTCCGACGCCCTCGCCGCTCGAACCGGGACTACGGTTCATAATGAAACCGGGATTAATGCCTTTTCTGGCCTGAACCTTTGCCCCCTTTTCTACTAGTGGGTGTATTTGCTCCCGGATCTGATTTGTGCTGTGAACTGGGGAGTGGTGAGGTCGTAGTAACGAGAAGTGAGGCGAGGGTGAGGAGAGGTGTGTCGGTAGGTAGCAGGGGTCGTGTGTTTGGGGTGAATTATGAGGGGGTGAGGTAGTAGAGTTTTAGTCTGTGTGCGTGGACCAGTGAGCTGCTTATAATTACATGGTCTGGTTTTTTTTTTTGCGGGAATACATGGTCTGGTTTAACTATGGGCAAGGGAAACTTGGACCATAATCCATGATTATTTGTTTCGTTGGCCGCCATAAAAAATAGCCAAACAAAAAAAATGATTAATGGCATTCCTCTTTACTCCATGGCGACCTCGACCCCAACAACAAGGTCGCCATAATCCATGATTTTTTGTTTCGTGTAACTATGGACTTCATTTTTCATATAGAATTAATCACCCACGAGTGCTACATTTTATCTAAAGAACTTGTACACGGGCACTTCAATGGCATTCCTCTTTAACAAAAAATATGCATTTGTGGGCTAGAATATCAACGGATAATATGTACACGAGAAGACCAAAGCTAAGAGTTGCATGTTGCATTGATCGTACTTCAAGCTATTACCTTTTACCTATAGCATCGCGTCAGGATCAATCAAAACAATATTCACGGAAAACGATCAATCAATTTAACCACAATCAGATTACCGAATAATGGAGATAGCCCACCAGGGGACACACCTCACATGGACCTCGACATCATCAGTGGCCTTAGTACAACCGTGTCAGCCAGCAACACACGGTGTGGAGCAGCCTGCTCGCGGAGGTGTCGAGTGCTGATTGCAATAGCTGTCGCTCGTCATGTCTGCTACAACTCAATAAACGAGGGCGATGATTTCTTTCTGACTTTCAAGCAAAATAAAGCACCTACCGTCTTACCACGTCAGTTGAGATATACACTAAGTTCATCAGTGGCATTAGTATGACCTTGGCAGTTGGCAACACACGGTGCCGAGCCAAGCTGATCGCGGATCTGTCGAGTGCTGATTCCAGTGGCTGCCGCTCGTCATGTCTGCTACAACTCAATAAACAAGGGTGATGATTTCTTTCCAACTTCCAAGCTAAATACTGATCACGTGATCATGCTGGTTGAGATTTACACTATGTTCATCAGTGGCCTTAGTACCATGGTGTCGGTCAGCAACACATGGTGCTCAGCCAGCCTGCTTGCAGACGTGTTGAGTGCTGATTGCAATGGCTGCATCTCGTCATGTCTGGTACAATTCAATAAGATTAGTCACAATGGGTAGTAACATATGTGTGGTGGCATGTAATATTTCATTTATTAGATTGTAAACTCATCTTGTCTTGGTATGTGTGATGTTGCAGTAACTAGCTATGTTACCACATGCACCTATTTCCTCATTAATTAGTCGCCACATCATCTATTTTGCCTAGAGATGTGTGATGCTACCACCTATGTTACACCCACTGTGGATTGTCTAAGTGAATGTGATGAGTTTTTCATGACATTCAAGCGAAATAAAATACCTGCCGTCTGATCACGTCGGTTGATATTTACTATGTTCATTAGTGCCATTAGTACGACAGTGTCAGTCAGCAACACATGGTGTCGGACCAACCTGCTCGCGGATGTGTAAAGTGTCCATTGGAGTGGCTGCCATTCTTCATGTCTGGTACAACTCAATAAACGAGGCCGATGATTTCTTTCCGACTTTCAAGCAAAATAAACACCTGCCATCCGATTTAGATAACCAATTTTCTATGTCTAATATTTTATCAACAGAGAGGTGTATATATTAGCAAAGATGGAATTTATATTAATGAATTCATACCTCTTATCCTGAAGAAATATTCTCAGTTCATCGATGAATTGTTGGTTGTCCCTAACAGCTTCATTGATGTTTGAAAACTCAGTAATGTCAAGTCCATACAACATCTTCTTAAAAATCTTTGTGATCTCAGGATTTCGCGACACGGAAACAAACACTCCACAACTGAACTGCGCCCTGATCTTGTCGTACACCGCTTTGGCAAAGCTGGTCTTCCCCAATCCACCGAATCCAACAATAGACAGTGTCTTGAGTTGCTGCTTGGACTTCACATCCCCATCAAGGAGCTTTTCGATCTGCTCATCCCGGGTGGCCTCGATGCCTACAAGCTCCGTGACATCTCTATACACAGCCTTGAGGCGAGGATCAATGGCATTCCCCACACTATCCGCGTATGCCTCGAACCCATACCTTTGACGGAGCTCACCCAGCTCCTTGGCGAGCCTTTGAGCATCTTGGACAGCGTCGCAGATTTGGTGGAGAGCCCTGCCCTTGCTGAACAGCTTCTTGGTTCGCTTGAAGAACTTCTTGGTTCTATTCTTCATGTTATTGGGGCCCAGTTCACCATGGCCGCCATCGTAGACACGGACCATGTAGGCATCCACGGCGTCCTCCATGTTGTAGGAGAGCTCGTGGACCTTGCCTGCCCAGATCCGTACCTGCGGGTCGAGTTGCTCTGCCGGCACGTCACCAACTTTATAGAGGACGACGTACATCATCTCCAGCTCCATAAGGAGGGACTTGACACCCTTGTTCACGCGGTTGTCCAGGGTGAACTCTGCCACGAGCAGGTCGCCGAGCTTGCGGAGGAGGGGGCCCATCGCCCGGTCCGCAAGCTCCATTGTTCTTCCTGCACGACTTCTCTCTGTCCGCTCGTCTCCAACACGGCTAGCTATTTGCTCAGGATAAGAATTATATGGTGAACTGGTGAGTGGTGAGGTAGTACCGGACGGAAGGGTGAGGTAGAAACTAAACTGTGCTGAAGGACGAGGTGGATAAGACGGTCTCGTATCTTGTGGACGTCTGCGTGCATGATTGTTTTTCTTTTTTTTTCTTTTTTGCGAGAATGGACTCGGTTGACTCACCAATTGTTGCTGCTTACATTTTTCATCTTGGATCTTTGATCCTTTTTTTTGCCCCAGTATACAAGTCCATCCTTTGACTAACGACTAGGCTCGACTTTTTCCGCTTCAGTTATAAGTCCACCATCGACTCGCAAATAAGGTTGACTTTTCCCCATTTGCAAGCCAACTATCGATTTGAACTGGCCCTGACATTGATTTTCTTTCTCCAGACGGTGACTTATAAAATGTTCACCTGGTTTAAAAATTAATTCATCGCATATTTATAAAATGTTCATTATGTATTTACCAAATTTTCATTATGTATTTCCAAACAAAATGTTCACACCATCCCAAGAAATGTTCTTCATGCATTTAAAAAAATTATCGTGTGTTTATTAAATGTCGTCCTGTGTATCTGATTTTTATATAAAAACAATTTTCCAATTTGTGAACATTTTGCAAATTCATGAACATTTTTTTGAAGTTCTCAATCATTTTTCAAATTCATAAATATTTTTTATATCAAAAATATTTTTCAAATTCGTGACCAGTTTTAGAATTTTTCGAGTTGATGGACATTTTTTAAATTTTGGAGCTCTCTTTTGCAATTTCTCGAAATTTTTAAATTTGTGATGTTTTTTAAAATTCATTAACATTTTTCATGTTCGCATTTAAAAAAAGAGAGTCAGGAACACATTTTCATATTCGTGAACATGATCCAAACACATGGACACTTCATAAAAATAGCATTTTCACCCCAAATACACCAATTTGTTTGCAAAGGACAAAATACGTGACCATGTAGATGCTATTTTTGCGTTCCCATAATGCTATTTACATGCTAGGAGTAAACTCTTGTCCATAATGAGCACACCCTGACCACGAGCGCGATGCTCAAATTAATTATAAAACGTTTGATGACCAACGATGATTAGCTGCAGTAAGTAATGTCATGTACATGCAATAATAAGGGAGCTGATCATCCAGAGTGTGTTGGGCTAGAGAACGTGGACAACTAGGATAACAACATCTAAAAACAGAACAAACAACGACAGTGTCTCCAAAAAAAAAAAACAGGGCAAAAGGAACCCATTACAAGCCAACATATACAGAATGGTCTCGTACCACCCCCTAATCTTCAAGAACTATCCATTACAAATAATGTTTGCACAACTTGTCCTCGTTGGTTTTGTGGTGACATTAGCACAAAAATGCTTGTCTCCCTCTACTTGGATCAGGGTGTTATGGGGCACTCTTCCACCTTTTGGTCAGTTTCCGCTTCTCATGACACTCACACTGATGCACATTTATAATGTTCGTGAGATTAGACCTGACTTACCGGGTGGGTTGGAGCTCCTAATGCTCATTCCTTCTCCAGGCTTGAATACATCAAGTGCAGAGAATGTCACAATCTCTGTGTGTTGCCCTTCCTCCAGGAGTGCTCTGGCTCTTCTTATACCCATCTGTCGCAAATTAAAATTTCTGATTGCCCTAAGTTGTCTCAACCGCCCATGACTCACACTCCCACATTAACTTTTTTCTCAGTGCCATGTCAACATGGCACAAAATTGTGTTATCTTGGAAAAGATTTGGAAGTTAAGCAGTATGATGGTGAGTTGGCCTTTCATAACCTGGATAAAGTAGAGACCATTTCATTGACACGGCCTAACAAGCTTAGGCCCTTAATAAGGCTAAGTGCCTGGTCATTTTTTTAGAAAAGGTCTGCATTTGGGAGATGCATGCGGCCATTTTATTGATTATTCTTGAGGACCTTACAAAGTAGTACAACAATATGCCTGAATCCGTCATTTTGGCAACATTTGCCGCTACTCCAATCCATATGATGAAGGGGTGCAAGCTGGGCCAAATACCCAGACCTCTCACCTAAAGCCGGAGGCCCCGACCGAGCCACATACCGGGTCCGGGGCACAAACCGGTCCGACGCACTCACATGTGTCGTCGCCGCCATCTTCCACTGGTCCATCTTCAGAGCAGATTGAGGTGCCAACCTTGGCAGGTGCCTCCGTCATCGACGCCACCATGACGCCAAACGACGACCTCCACCTACGTGAGTCCATCTCCAAGCAACGGACACAGATCCATGCTAGGACAGGGCCGCACCACCGCCGTCACCCACCACCCACAAGCACCACCCAGCCCCAAGGTTCCCAAAGCGGCGCCTTCAAGAAGGGAACGACGCCATGAGCGCCGTCGCCGCCCAACAAAGTTAGGGCTTTCGTCCGGGAGACCTAGGGGAAGGGGAAGTGAGGGGATCGGTCCATACCGACGCCTCCAAGGAGGGGAATGGCGCCCTCAGGCGTCGCCGTCGATGCGGCCGGCCATGGCCAACCAAGGATTTCTCCCGAACTAGATCCCCGCCACCAGTAGCGCCTCATGTACAGAACCGGCGACCCAAGGAAGCGCGGCCCAACGAGATTGGCCTGCATGCCGAACAGGGGAGGAGGGGAGGCGCCAGATCGCGCGCACCGGCCACCACAGGCCGCCGGCCGCCAACGACCACCGGATCCCGCCGCCCGTGCGACCGGGACGCCAGATCCACCGCCCGCACGGCTGCTAGCCGGCCGTGCCTTGCCAATGGAGCCGCCGCTCCAGATCCGGGGGTCCCCACACAGAGGCAGGGCAACCGAGGCCCCGCCGCCACCATCCTTGGTGCCTTGGGCTTGCCCGGCGGCTGCCTCAGGCGGCAGCGAGGAAGGGAAGAGGAGGAGGGGCGGCTAGGGAGGAGGAGGGAGGAAGAGGGGCGGCTAAGTGCCTGGTCATGCGGCAACGGCATCATGTGGCATGGACTCAAGGACCCCATTTGGCTCTGATAATCTACAATATACAAGTGTGGTAACTTCTTTGGGTGGCCGATAGAAGAATCTAGAGAAGGAGCTAACACCATCAAGCCTGTTTTCAATGCTTCACTCTGGGATTTTTCAGTTACCTCACTGTAGAAAATTTATCATAGCTTATTTTGTCAAAAATTCAACATTCTATCACATTCTGACTTTTCTAAAGAATTCACGCAATAGCATGCAACTTTCTGTTTTGAGACAGCAACTCATATACATACAAACTAAGCATGGTGAAGGCTATCCTTGACACTTTTATTGAAATAAAAGATAAAAACCCTATTCTAAATAACAGCAAGCAGATACAAATTAAAGAAAATGACGCTCCAAGCAAAAACATATATCGCGTGACAAATAAAAATGTAGCTTCAAGTAAGGTTGCCAATAATGTTGAAGAGGATAGAGGGGATGCCTTCTAGGGTATCCCCAAGCTTAGTTCTTTGGGTCTTTCTTGAATATTACCTTGCGGTGTCTTGGACATCCCTAAGCTTACGGTCTTGACACTCCTTATGCTCCTCATACCAATATCTTACCCAAAACTTGAAACTTCAATCACACAAAACACAACGGAACTTGACATGCTTGCTAAAAAATTTTGCCACGCTCGAACAACATAACTGCAAGCAACGTTCGCCAGGAGAGTGTAGCAAATCAAATGTTTTTCATGTCAAATTATGTTGTCGTGAGGATGGCAAATCGAATCATAAGAATAACTCAGTAATGTAGTTTTCCTTTTAAGCTCCGTGATTCGAAAAACAACTTGATCATCGGTCTCAACCCCTCATAAAAGCAGGCTACATGTACTCACCCATGCTATTACTTTTTTTCTGCGAGGACCCATGCTATTACATTGTTTTGGTGAAATAAGATGGTGGTGTAGTCGCATGGTTTTGTGTTGTCTTGTTGACTAGTGGAAGCTTCGTGCCCTTTGTACATACTAGATTTTGTCTAGTTTTTACTAATTAGCTAGACAACTCTATTTCTTCTTGCTGACGATGAAAATGCAACGCGCTTGCTCGGGAAAAGAACAAGCTACAATTCTTGCCTTATACACATGAAATCTAGGAGAGCACAACCCATGTGGTCACGTAGCAATGTTGCAATATTAATGTTCTACAGTACTGCAATATTAAAGTTCTACAACGTTTTGTGTACAATCATGCATGGTCGTACAATCACTGAACATGGAGTGCAACAGAAGCATTGAAAATTTGTGTCTGGTATGCAAATCATAGCCTTCTATTTTCACACATATATGGTCCAGTTGGTTAGCAGTCACCACCTACATCTGCACACTAAATTAAGCAACGAACCTTGTACCCTACGATCCTTCCCTTCGAATATGATTCTTTGACTCGAGTCAGGTAACTTTGTGGTGCCTGACATGTGAGCCTACCTTCAAACTGACCCACATATCAGTCATGCAAAGTCATCTGACTTAAGTCTGCATCCCTTTCCTTTCAGTCGCTTTCTTATTTCCTTCTTAAAATTTCAGTACATGCAATGCAACGCATCAATAATTGCATGTTTCCAGTGTGGCGCAGTTCGTGCGTGAACATCAATCAAGCTGTATCAGTTAAATCAAACCAAACTCTGTTGGCAAAAAAAAAGTATAGCTCTAACCCTGGGGAACATATCTAGTGCACCAAGGCAATTTGTGCTACCGGTGCACCGGACCCCATTGCACATTCAAAAAAATTAGAAAAAATCCGGAAATAATTTAGTGTATTGACACAACATCAATGCATGTTGTCACAAAAATTGAAATCAAAATTCAAAACAATGCTCAAGATACAAAAATGACAAATTTGACCTCAATGTGCTAATGGGCCAAAACTGAAGCCCAACTTGTGTTACGTACTATTCAGTGTCAAATTTGTTATTTTTGTGTCTCGAGCAATGTTTCAAATATTGATTTAATTTTTTTGTGATAGCGTATATTGATGTTGTGTCAATCCACTAGATTTTGTTCTGGGATTTTTTCGAACATTTTTTGAATGTGCAACGGGCGACCACTGCACCGGTAGCACACATTGCCCCGGTGCACTAGATACATTGCCTCTAACCCTGACCCCAATAATTCCAACAAGGGGAACACCAAATGGGCTGTTCATTTCTTGGAAGGCATTCAAGGCAGTAGGCCCCTGGCACCAATGGTCTTAATGTGGCTCGTACAAGAGTCGCCATGGTATAGAGGGTGCGGGCCCAGCCCGCTCAAGTACGTGTCGAGGGCTGCTCATAGTTGGTGTTGTTCATGGTGTGACGTGATATGAAGGGAGATGACTTTTTCACATGAGATTTTCAGTCGTCTTAGGCGTTCACATTCGTAGGCAGTGTCCTCTGAAAGCTCCATTTCATTTACAGATGACAATAAACACATATGATGAAACAAACTATCTCTTCTTGTTATCTCTTGCGGATAATGGTTGTATGCTTCTAAAATTATGTGGTGGTTGTAAAATTAAATTAGGAAGTGCGTGACTAAAATATATTTCGTACACTGGCGGAGAACTAGTGCCCAAGATTTTTTGTCATGTCGCATAGCCACTCATGTTTCTCGTTGATGAACAAGCCTCTGTCATTTGCTCATGTTTCTCGTCATCACCGATAACTGGTACTAGCCGAATTTTATGGCTACACCAAAGTTATGTGATCGTAGGTCACAATGCTCATTCGTGCAACTCGCCTTAGCTTGTTCCAATTCCTAACCACGGCACACCAACCAACTCTTCTTGATGTGGACCTTGTGTTTGATTTTTATTCTAGTTCATTTGTGTATCAGCAGCAGCAGCAGTATTTGTTTTTAGAATAAAGGGGGCGATTGAATAGTAGTCATTTGTTGTATGGAAATCAAATCCATTTTATGTGGAAGCAAATAGACAAATAAATTGAAAGCAATTCTCGGGCTGATGGAAACAAACTTTTGGTACGCTAGAGGAAAATTCTGAGAAACATTTTTCTCTCTCAGTTGGGCTCTAATGTTTTTTAGAGAACAAATTCAGCTACACAAACCATGATGAGTACACGTACGAACTAGTAGTAATTTGTGACTCAAGGACAGTCCTTTGTGATGTGAACTTGACAGCCAACAGGTACACGAATTGAAAGATGCGTATAATGTTTATTTTTATAAACAAAACATAATAATGGAAGACTCCGGAGGCAGATGAACAGGAATCGTCCCATGCTATAAATTGACCATCCATCCATCTATCAACTACCCACAAACATATAGCTCTTGCACACAAAAAACGCCACACCCCTGTCCAAAAGACCACCAAAACTCACCTCACAAAAGCCCCCCCAAAAGTTGACCCTGCAGGCGCCAAGGACGATGGAGGCGGCGATTGGCGCGGCACGTGGGCTCGTCGGCAGGGTAGTGAATCTGCTGTCCAACGACCTTGTGCAGGCGTATGTCGCCAGTGCTGAGCTCGGCCTAAACTCCGAGAAGATCAAAGACGATCTGATGCGCACACAAGTGGTGCTGCAGGAGGCCCAGCGTAGAGGCGTGATCAACAACCCTAGTTTGGAGGAGCTACTGCACAAGCTCCACACCAAGGTCGGCAAGGCGGAGGACGCGCTGGACGAGCTCCATACTTCATCATCCAGGACCAGCTCGACGGCACTCAGTATGCTGTGCCGGATCTGGGCAATACCCTCTGGGGTCATGCTCGCCACATCCGTCATGCCATTCACCATACCATCGGTAACTTCATCCTTCCATTCTTTTCTTGTTGGCTGCTGCAAGATGATGATCATGGTGCTGCTGCTATGAATGATCCTCACAATACAGCCAACCCTGGTAGTGGTAATGATGGTTCAGTTACTAAGTTGTCATTCGATAGAGTGGCCATGTCCAAGAAAATCAAACAAGCAATAGAGGAAATGCACTCCCTGTGTGACCAATTCTTGGAGTTGCTCAAAATAATCCCAGACCATAGCACCAGTACTACAACTGTCAACCTAAAACGACCTCTCACAGGATCAATCACTGCACAAGAAAATTTGTATGGGAGGAGAGACCTGTTTGAGCAGACCATAAAAGATCTCATCACCAATTGCACAAATAGCAATAAAACTCTTTCAGTTATGCCTATAGTTGGTCCAGGGGGTATTGGAAAAACAACTTATGCTCAACACTTGTATAAGCATGAAAGGGTAGAAGAGCACTTCCCTGTCAGGGCTTGGATATGTGTCTCAACTGATTTTGATGTGCTCAAGCTCAGTCAGCAGATCCTTAGCCAAATAGAAGAAAAAAACAGCGCATATAAAATATCAAGTTTAAACCAGCTCCAGAAATCCATTGAAAAGAGGATCAAGTCTAAAAGGATTTTAATTGTCTTTGATGATATATGGGAATGCACTACTCAGGACTGGGAAACCCTGCTAGCTCCTTTGGGAAAGGGCGAAACCACAGGTAACATGGTTCTCGTCACAACTCGGTTCCCGTCTAAAGTTGATGATGTGAAAACAACCAACCCCATTCCGCTGAAAGGCCTTGAGCCGGATGGTTTTTTTAAATTCTTTGAAGCATTAATATTTGAAGGAGAAAAACCTGAGAATTACAATGATGAATTAACTGATCTTGCAAAGGATATTGCCAAGAAATTGAAGGGTTCACCTCTAGCAGCCAAAACAGTTGGTCGGCTATTGAAGAATGACCTACGTAAGGAACATTGGATGGCAGTTCTCGAAGATAATGAATGGCAAAAACAAAAAAATAATGATGATATTATGCCATCTTTAAAGATTAGCTATGATTACCTTCCTTTCCAACTGAAAAAATGTTTCTCGTGTTTTTCCCTATTTCCCGAAGACCATAGGTTTAGCAATCTAGAGATTACATGTTTTTGGAGTGCATTAGGGATCATTGAAAAAGATGAGAATTACATGGAAGAACTTTTGAAAAATGGTTTTCTCGTGAAGGAGAATGATCGTTGGTCAAATCAACAGTACTATGTGCTGCATGATTTATTGCATGAACTAGCTCAGAGTGTCTCGTCACAAGAATGCCTAAATATATATAGCAATGTAAGTTTTAGAGCTAATGATGTCCCAAAATCCATTCGTCATTTGTCCATCACCATGAAAGACAAATACGTTGAGACTTTTAGGACAGAAATGATTAAATTAAAGAGCAAGGTAGACATTGCAAATTTGCGTGCTCTAATGATTTTTAGAAAATATGAGGAACAAATTGATGAGGTTATAGAAGACACATTCAAGGAAATGGAGGCTCTTCGTGTTCTTTTTATCGAAGTCAACTCCCCAGAATCTTTACCACATTACTTTCCAAAACTTATCCACCTACGATACCTAAAAATTAGTCCATCAAATTTTGGTTCAGAAGTGACTTTCCCTAGCACACTTTCAAGATTTTATCACTTGAAATTATTGGACCTAAGTGATTGGTATGATCAAAGTATTAACTTACCTAAAGACATTAACCGCCTTACCAATTTATGCCATTTTATTGCCGAAAGAGAAGTCCATTCCAATGTTCCTGAGGTAGGAAAGATGAAGTATTTAAAGGAGCTTAAAGAATTCCATGTCAAGAAAGAGAGTGATGGATTTGAATTAAGTGAGTTGGGGGATTTAGCAGAGCTTGGAGGAGAACTCAGTATATATAATCTTGGAAATGTGGCAACCAAGGAAGAGGCCAGGAAAGCCAAGCTTGTGTCAAAAGGTGATTTGAAAGAGTTGAGGTTGGTTTGGGGAGAATTGGATGCATCAGAATCATCTGATGGTGCATCGGAATCATCTGATGCCCTTGATGGTCCAACAGAATCATCTGGTGCCCTTGATGGTACAGCAGAATTATCTGATGTTCTTGATGGTCTTGAGCCACATCCTAATCTGCAATCACTTGGCATTATAAACCATGGTGGTTCAGTCGGTCCTCATTGGTTGTGTGATCACATGAGCATAAAGATGCTTGTGTCTCTCCACCTAGAGGGTGTGTCTTGGTCCATTCTTCCACCTTTTGGGCAGTTATTGCATCTCAGATCACTCACATTGATTCACATTTCTACACTTGTTCAGATCAGGCCAGGCGTTGTTGGGGTTACGGCTAGAAGTTTTATGCAGTTGAAGGAGATTGTTCTTGATTCTTTGTCAGAATTTACTGAGTGGGTTGGGACATCTAATGCCCATTCATTTTCAATGCTTGAAAGAATTGTTTGCAGAAAATGTCCCAATCTCTATTCACTGCCGTTCCTACAGGATTGCCCTGCGGGCTCATATAACCATCTGTGGAAACTTGAAATTACTGGTTGCCCAAAGTTGCTTATGCCCCTCATGCCTCACAGTTCCACACTAACTGAAGTTACTGTGTCTACTAGCCGTACTGGGGATATGGTGTACGCCAACCGTAATTTGTATTTGACGAGGTATAGCAGGGAATTAGCCTGGCACAATATGGCCGGCAAAGTACAGAGCATCACATTTAAAGCTGGATCAACAATCCCATGGATAGTCCTCCAAAATTTAACCTCCCTCGAGAAACTTGAAATTGAAGGAGACTCAAGCCAGCAGTCGATGGCTTCGGTCTCATACCTCACGTCTCTCACCAATCTAAGAATACAATATTGTAAGAATTTCAAAGTGGGTGGGTTCAATCTTCTCATGGCTTCCAACCTCAAGGTTTTGGCGGTCCACAACATAATTGAATATTACCCTCTCTCTGTAGCCGCAGATCTTCTCTCGGAATTGGCGGTGGAAATAACAAGGAGTAAAAAGTTATTACCACCTGCAGCTGGCTCTTTACTCCAGTTGGAAAGACTTAATGTGGATAGCATCTCGGCTGTGCTTGTTGCTCCAGTTTGTCGACTACTCGCTGCTACCCTCAAGGAGTTAGTGATCACGTGTGATCGAGAGGTGGAGAACCTCACCAAAGATGAAGAGAAAGCGCTTCAGCTCCTCACCTCACTCCAAGAACTAATTTTTTGGAGGTGCCGGCGTCTGCGGTCCTTCCCTCAAGGGTTACACGGCCTTCCTTGTCTCAGGACACTAAAAGCCATCAGCTGTCGAAAAATCCGATCGCTGCCCAAGAAGGGAATCCCCACTTCTCTGCGGGAGCTATCAATAAATGATTGCAGTCGCAAGCTACACAATCAAGCCAAGAAACTAAATCAAAGAAATTTGTCTGTAAGCGCCTAGCCCAAGGTAACACGCTGGCTGTTCTTATCATTTCCATTCTTCTCTGTTTATTACTACATATATAGTACTAACTTGTGAATTCTGACAGGCTTGCCCGCACAGCTACGTACTATGTCAGGCATTCAAATTTCTAGCTCGGCGAAATGTACATATATTGTGAATCCTTTCATCCTAGGTAGCTACTCTTCTAGAGATGGCCATATATCCGCAGAAGGATGAGTTATGTCCGATGCATGCATGTGCAACAAGCTAGGTTCGCCAATACATCGCAGAAGTAAAATTAATGATCAGGCTAGGAAATTCGGAGGAACAAAAGACCCAGATTTACGAGTACAAATTCAAGGTAACACTTCCGCCTCCAAAGATTCACTTCATTTTTTATTTTCATGTAACTAATTTGCAACTGAAATATGCATTGTGGTTGCTCCTGTATGCAGAGTTTCCGGATATTAGGATGAAGAAGACCATGGTCCTTGATTACGGTTCTAAACGTAATTGACAGTTTTTGCATGTTAAATTTTGAAGAGCAAGGGGACACCCGATCGACAGGCATCGAGGTGAATGCCTATTTTCTTGTTTCTGTTTAGTCTTGAATATAATCTTATCGAATGAAATTCTGCAGGCTGCAGTGACTAAATACTGCCAGGACCATGCAACACCAGGTCCAACCACCTATTTTAGTTCAGCAGCTTTATTTCACTTGTTAGCAAGAGGATATTCAGGTAGATCCGCTGTTGCTTACGTAGTTCTGTTTGATGTTCATCTCATAACCCTTTGTCGCTTACTCTTCTTCGACACGAAGCTTCTTTTAGGAGAACAACAATCTGAACCTTGCAATTGCATCCTGTTCCTCGTGCAGTCTGCTGGTTATAAGTGGTAAGCAGTGACAGTCGGCATCAAGCAACGGTGCGTATGTCCCTAGACAGTAAATTTTCATGCTTTTGCAGCATGCAAAATCGATCAACGTACCTAATTATGATGATAACCGCTGAATTACTTGAATAAGTTGTCAGAAGGCTCTTGTCAAACAATTACTTGTAACTTGTGAGCGTCACACCCTCAAGCACCTAATATGTCGCGGAGAATAAAATTTTATGAGATATCATACAGGAATTTTTGTATAGTAATACTCCCTCTGATCCATAATAATAGTCGAGGTTTGAACTTAAACCCCGACAATTATAATGGATCGAGGGGAGTATAATGTAATCGTTTTGTTTTCTCCTGACATGCAGTATGACGATTACCCTAACCCTGACGTTATCGGAACACTGCAGGACATAGATCACACATAGATGCCTTGTGTTTCATGATCAAGATTAACAGTTTGCGTGGAAGGGCAGTTTCTCTTTTGATATGTTTACCTATCTAAGCAGTTTTAGATTACAACTGTGCTTGTTGCTGTATATGGTGTAGGTAACACACCTTTTCTTCATTCTTGTTATTACTTCCTTAGACTGTTCTGAATATCTGAATGCTAAAACAACTACGTTTTATGCGATAATGGAACAGGTTGACTATTTGTTTCTTACGAGTCAGTTCCATTGTACCTCAAGTCCAACAACCACCAACTACATCTTGCCTTGTGAGTTTCAGTTCCAGCTTAGCAGGTTCGCCAGTTGACCGGCGACTCAAAAGTAACGACTTGATCATTTTCACTTGATTTTTTTTAAAGAAGATAATTTTCATTCGTGTTTTCTCATACCTTGGTCATTTCCTGACCTTCCATTCATTAGTTGGACTCGAAGCTTGGCTGCTCTATCCAAACAACGGTGATGTCCCGACGGAGGGTTGAGCGGTTCTGCATAATCCACCATTTGAAAGGTACGTCTAGTTACTTCCAGTGGTGATCCACGCGTTTAAACAAGTTACATTACATATTTTCGGTGCTGATTCGTTTGGCATCATGATGGTGCAGGTGTGTCACCCTCTAGACGAGCCTGAACCCTGTTTCAAGACTTGAAACAGGGCGTTGGGCGCCAACCACCTCCTCTGTTTTTGTCTGTCGCCTCACCAACTTTTCCCCTTCTCTCTGCGCTGGTCTTCTACAGAATATAGGCGACCGCCTACTCCTCTGTCCACACCGCCATCTTTTTCCTCAACTTCTGCTATGCCGTGCGCTCGCTGTCGTCTGTGGCTGCCGGCCAGCTCCGCACCCGCTCCATGCATCTTCCTCCTACTTGTTAGTTAGTGTACGTGATCGCTAGGCACAGCATACAAACTCTGTAGCGTGCTAGCACAAGGTACCGACTTGGTAGGCTAGTCGTTTAGTTAATCCTGCTGCTTATTGTTGCACTAAGGAAGCTTTAGCTATAGAGGATGTTGTAACATACTCTGATGTAATCCCTGGCTTTCTGAGTTGCTCTTTGCACTCGGACATGCTACTGCTGAATGAATGAAATATGGAGAGCAGAGTTATAAAAAAGAAATGACTTGGTATAGCCAGTGATTTCTTAAACAAGTTTCATCCTGTACATGTACATAAACACACCTTTGATCATCGATACGAAATGTGTTGGATCTCTTCTCTCTTTAATTACACCCCCACGATCATCATGCCGGATCGATCCACGGTACAGCATGGCCAGAAATAGGTAGGAACTCATACAAGACATGATGACAGTGACGACGGCGTTGGATCTTCCTACTGTCAACTTACTTAGAAGGCTGAAATTTATTTATGCAGTTTATTAGATTGATTGATGGAAGCGTTCCTACTCTTCAAGGGGAGAGCCGCGTTGCTATATATTGATGCGGACAGAAGACCTGTCATAGATTACAAGATAGAACGATCACTAGGATTCATCCCGTTACAAGAGAAAGAGACAGATAAGGATACAGGATAGAGGGAGAGATAGTTGAGATTACATGGCGTATAGCATTCAAACTTCTAACAACCTCCCTTAATCTAAACTATCCTATGTTCAGGTTTCTCTTGAACTCTTCAAAAGGCTTAACTGACAAAGCTTTAGTGAACCCATCTGCTACCTGATCCTTGGACGGAATGAATCTTATGTCCAATTTTTTCTCTGCCACTCTTTCTCGTACAAAATGAAAATCAATTTCAATGTGTTTAGTTCTACTATGAAAAACCGGATTAGCTGAGAGATAGGTGGCCCCCAAGTTATCACACCATAAACATGGAACACGACGTTGCTTGATTCCCAACTCATCAAGTAATGATTCCACCCAAATTATCTCAGTAGTAGCATTTGCCAATGACTTGTACTCGGCTTCTGTACTTGATCTTGACACTGTAGCTTGTTTCCTGGCACTCCAAGAAATAAGGTTTGAACCAAAGAACACTGCAAATCCTCCAGTTGATTTTCGGTCATCACTACATCCTGCCCAGTCAGCATCAGAAAAAGCACTAACCAGTGAAGAATTAGAGCGTTTGAACTGAAGCCCAAACTCACATTATGCTTAATGTACCGCACAGTCCTTTTGACAGCTGTCCAATGGGTGGAAGTAGGAGCATGCAGATATTGACAAACCTTGTTCACGGCAAAGGATATGTCTGGTCGTGTCAAAGTCAAGTACTGTAGAGCTCCAACAGTACTCCTATATTTTGTGCTTTCCTCTTCCTTAAGTGGTTCTCCTTCATGCGCTGAAAGTTGTTCTGAAGAAGACAAAGATGTGGGCGAAGGCTTGCAGTCTTTCATTCCCATACGAGTTAGAAGTTCAGTGGCATATTTTTCTGGACTCAACATTATGCCATCTTGAATCTTCTTAACTTCAACACCAAGGAAGAAATGTAAATCACCAAGATCCTTCAAGGCAAATTCGGAACTTAAATCATGCAAGAGAGCATTAGTGGCATTTTGTGAGGAGCTCGCAACTATGATGTCATCAACATAAATGAGCACAAACATGACCGTATTTGCCTTACTATAAATGAAGAGAGACGTATCAGCCTTGGACGCAACAAAACCAACATGCTTCAATTGTGAGCTCAGCCGTGAGAACCATGCTCTAGGAGACTGTTTCAGACCATAAAGAGCTTTATCAAGTTTGCAAACATAATGAGGTGTTTGTTTATTTTCATACCCTGGTGGTTGCCTCATATAGACCTCCTCTTCCAGAACACCATGCAAAAACGTGTTCTGAACATCTAGCTGTCTAAGACTCCATCCTCTAGAAATAGCAATAGCCAGCACAAGTCTGATGGTGGCAGCTTTCACAACAGGACTAGAAGTGTCCTCATAATCAATACCATACCGTTGCTTGAAACCTTTTGCAACCAGACATGCCTTGTACCTATCGATGGAGCCATCCGCTTTTCTTTTGATTCTGTAAACCCATTTGCAATCAATAATATTTTTACCTCTTTGACTTGGTACCAAGTGCCATGTTTTATTCCTCATGAGTGCACCATATTCTTCATCCATAGTCCTTTTCCACTTAGGATCTCCAAGTGCATCACTCAATCTTGTTGGTTCACCTGAAATACACAACATACCATACGGGATAGTACCATATGTTCTTACTTTGGGATTTCTAATCCCTTTTTGCAATCGAGTCATAATCCTTGAAGTGGTGACAGGTTGTGGCTGTAGTTGTACAGAAGACTGCTCAATGTGACCAGCCGCAGAAGATCCAGAAGATCCTTCCAAATCTGTAGATTGAGAGGGCGCAGAAGATCCAGTGGCCAATGGTGTGGTCGAACCTGGAGTGAAGTCTTCCGCAGAAGATCCTGAAGCTGCTTTTGCTGTCGGCTGCATGCGCGCGCGCCCGCTACCGCGTGATGATGCGGCGCTCGTGGAGTGGCCCGCCGCTTGGCTCGACGCGGCCTGATCCACCCGAACGGGCTGTCGCCCCGCGTGCGATCCAAAACAGACCTGCGCGCCTAATCCAAGGCCGGCTGATGCACTGGCGTGGCAGGCGCAGCCAGGTCCTCCTCAGGTTCCGCACCGGCTCCTCCTTCTTCTCCATTGACATGAAATAATAGATCATTTTGAGCCAAATTTTCATGATTTTGATCATTTTCTCTGTTGTTTTCT